CATTTAATTTTATAAAATTAATTATTTGCTTGGCAAGTCAGGACATTTCCTTATTATCTTTCCATTACGGAGTTATGACCTTCTCAATGATTTTTCTCCATTGATTCACAGGGGAACAGGGAACGTGTCTGTCAGGAGAACAGACAGTGGAGTGGAGAGGTAGCAAATTGCAAAAGTAAGTTAAATGACACTTAGCATCCCTGAAAATGAGACTGAGGACACAAAATAACTGTGTGGCTACATTTTGTTTATAGATCAGTTTTGTCATTTAAAAAAAGTTTTTTTTCAACCAACTTCATAAACTCTATGAGAACATTTAATGGACTTTTGCTCAAGGACAGCAAACCAATAAAAAGGTCAAAAACTGTATTAGAGATTAATGATTAAATTGGAATACGGCACAAGATTACTGACCTTGGAATGGTAAACATTCTGTTTACGAACTAGTTAATTATTGAATTTCATTTGCATTTAGGGGATTTTATCCCCAAATAATTATAAATTAGAAGGCTTAGAGATATTGGGCTTTGGTGACAGTACCGACTAATACTGGCAACTTTTTTAAGTGCTGTTGGTCTGTCAGGTCAAATAACTGAATATTCACATTTTGCGTGGAATTTTATATTAACTCATTTTATGAGAACAGCCAAGTTTCCTTGGCAACCTGTGGGTTAATTCACATGGATCTTGTTCGAAATGGAGAATCTCAGGCCTCACCCCAATCCTAGGAAATCAAAATTTGCATTTTAACAAGATCCCTAAATGATTCCCAGCATGTTACAGTTTGAGAAGTATCATGTTAAGCCTTTGGTTTTTAGCCTTCAGCGCTTCTATCCCAGAAAACTTTGAAAAGTGCCAAGTCTGCACCCTGTACCGGCTAAATCAGAATCTCTGGGAAGGGATTCCAGCATCAATACCTTCCTAAAGTTCCCCAGGTGATTTCAAAGTACGGCCAAGGTTAAGATCCATAGTCCCAGTGCATGTAAGACTCACCAGGCTAAGAGAAGCCTGGAGAAGTCCATTAGCATCTAATCCAGGCACTCTCAACTGTGAATGAGCATTAGAATCATTTGGGGAGCTTTTAATAAAATAGCAAAAGATAGGCCTCAATATAGAGATTCTGGTTCACTTGGTCTGGGATAGGCCATAAAAGCTTTCCAGGGACTCTAACATACAACTGAAATCGAGACCCACTAGTCTCGAACCATCTTCTCTGCCTTCACAAAAATTATAAAATTAAGACTCAAGCTTATTTATGAGATTCTAGAAAAGGTGATCCTTCTTTCCTCTTAGCACATTCCTGTTAAAAAACGTTTCTTATAATGAGGCAATATCATTTTTTATAACTATAACACCCATCAGTCTATAAAGTTTGCATCTCTCTCGAAAGCCATGTAAAATGTCCCTCATTCTAATTTCCCCCAAGTTCAGGAGTCCCTGTTCTTTATATATTCCTATTATATTTTACCTTCTGATGATTTTATATTTTATCTCTTCTTATAAGCAGTGTGACCTTGACCAAATTATTTAACTTCTCTGAACCTCATTTTTCTCCAACTACTAACTGAGATAATCTCAGAGTTGCTTTAAGTAAGGCTGCCAGATTTAAAAGAAACAAAAATATAAGACACTCAGTTAAATTTAAATTTCAGATAAAAAATAATGTAAATATGTCCCATGTAATATTTGAGACCTACTAAAAATGTGCTTGTTATTTATCTGATACTCAAATTTAACTGGGTATTCTGTATTTTGTCTGGGCCTACAACC